TTTCAACTAAGTTGACAACATTAGATTACCCTGTTATACTCTCCCACCGACGCAACACCACAGTTTCTCTCCAAACTAACCCCCTTTTTTCCCCAAAAAATATTTCATTTAGAAGTGGCTAACTCACTTGGCTTGGAAGGTCCGTGGACTTAGGTCATGTCCATTCAGTCAATTATAAAAACTATTTCTAGAGTTTTCCAAAGGAACAAGCAATTTTCACTAACTTGGACAATTTTTGACAATTTTTTTTTCTATTTTAAGGTTGGACGATGATATTCAAATACATTGGAGGAAATTCTTCCTCTCCGACTGCTGACACGTTTTGGAGTTCATTTGACACATTATCAGAAAATGTTATCGCTGCCTTAGATACCACTTCAACCTACCAGGGAAACTACAAAAACCGTATCGTTCAAAGTTGGCAAATTTTTAACCCTCAAGAGGTAAGTTCGGAAAATATCTACACCACAAGGGGTTAGGCTAAATGCACCTTATTTTACAAACTTCTTATGCAATTTCAATGTATTTCCACAGAAATGGCCTGTAAAAATAAATCACTGGCAGTTAGATTTTTTTGGATTTTTTTTTCTCATAAGCCTCATTTTTTCTCATAAGGTTTTTTGTTACGAAACACTTTTCCAAATGATGTTCATCATGTTCCTAAAGGCAAACCAAGCAGGCACTTTTCTGAACTGCTCTTGCCTCTTTTGAAAGGAATTAAGGAATAGAATAAAATAGAATATAAATGGTATAAAAGAATATAAACCAAAACAATTTGTTTCAGAGAGTAATATCACAGGCCATGCAATGAGATCCCTATTTGTTACGTTGCGTTGTTTATCTTACTTCCCAAACCTTAAGAGTGTATCGTCTTGGGAATAGGTATAAGGAAAGTGCTTATGTTTTATCCTTGTAGGAGAATAGTTCTTAGAAAAGGAGTTATGTTTTAAAATTGTGAAATTCTCGCAAGAGAAACAACGACCGGTCGCAAGGTCAAACCACAACAAAATATGCAAACCACAATGATATAAAATATTCAAAGAAAATTCTGATCTGAAATAAAATTGCTCAATCCGAAATTACGTTAAAAAGTTCTCAGGGTGTGAGGGAGCTTTTAATGCTTCCAGGACGATTGAAAACGAAGGGTTGCAGTGCCAAAGACAAAGTGAGACTAGAACCAAGCCGATACAATAACTTCGGGCTCAAAACTTTGCCTTCTCGAGTTTACATAGAGCCATGGCATGTGGTACTGAAAATAAGTTTGTAAAAACACAATAAGAATTGATCAACAATTCTTTAAATTCCCCGATGTAACGATTCTTATCTTATCCCATACTTATGTATTTGATATGTAAACAACAGATAATTTTCTTGTATGACTTTAGGTTCGTGTAGTGCTTTACACGAATGGGGCAGAAGTTATGTCTATGAAGTTCAATGCCAGAGGAACAACTAACGTTGACTGGTTTACACAAAATAATCTACTTCAATCACCATGGACAGATCTTAAGAATGCGACAACTTTAAAACCCTTTCGCATCAATGGACATCACGGTGCACGAAACTTTGAAATCTCAGCTAAGTACGCAGGATGCCCTAATGATGTTGGGTGGTTTATGATCGGGGGAGCTTTCTGTGCCTGGGAGAGATTTCACCCTGTGCCGGCAATTCTATACAGCAAGAAAACTCACAACATCACATGGAATAATGTCCAAGGTAGAAATTGATTTTAAAATTCTTGGAATACTTCTGTTATGGTGAAAATTGATGTATGAAATCTTGGAACACCTTTATTACTGTTTTTGTTTGTTTGTTTGTTTGTTTGTTTTTGTTATCTAATCATTGAAATAACGAGATATATCCTAAACAGACCTAATGGAATGGTTTCGTTGTCATTCATTTTCTATTTCTATTTTTTTATTAAAGCAGATATAATGGTATGTAATAACTTGCTGAGATAGTCGTAACTGTTCTAGTCGACTCCTCCTTAGATAACTCGGCAATCTCCTTTGGGGGGTCTCACTGTGTCAAATGGAGAGTACTCGCCAGATTGCCATGTCGACCTTTCTTAAATATGGTGTAATAGTGATATTTTAAGACGCCTCAGCGCTCCCCTCTCCCCCTCTTTATTTCATCGGAGTGTCAGAATTTAATTGCAATTGTTAATTACTGGGCAAAATTCCGGTAGGAAATTGAGAGGAGAAGTGTAATAACTGCACGAGTCATCTGAAATTTAACCTCTCCGATGATTAAAAGGCCGGTGCTCTAAATCCGGTTTCACTCGGAAAAGGTCACTTTTGCTAACTTTTTATTTGTTTTCTTTTCTCCATCTATCTCTAATTATGGGTTATGTATTATGTTAACAATCTATTTAATGAGATCTCAATAAATAGTTTACTATGTATCATTTATCGCTAGTTTTTTTTTGTTATTTTCTTTTCTCAAGCCGACGTCGGGGGCGCTGAGGTTATGGTTGTGTATGTACGTTGAAGACCAGGGATGCCAGCCAATGAATCTGAATGAAATGTTGAGAAGTAAAACTTCTGCCTTAACGTTATACGCAAAATGACTGCAAAATCATACCAATGTGCTTGACTGCAACTCGTTGGTTTTGAAGAAGAAGTGGCTTGTTACTGCCAACGACGTTTATCTTTATCCGCAATTCTCTCTGCACGAGACATTTTCTTTTCGTCATCAGAATTTGACGCGAGCTTGTCAGAGAGATATTCGTTGACCGTAACTTGCCTACGAAACTCGCTTTTATTAAATAGCTTAATGGCCTTTATTCTTTTCGATACTAATGCAATACCTTCTTTTGACGCGCGTTTCGCTCTCTCTGAGGAACTACTTTTCATGGCGTTCGAGGCTTAATGCATCTTATCGAGAACTTGAAACTAATAATCGAGTTGCTGCTAGTTGCCCTTCCAGATGTGTTCACAGACCCGACGGACTAACTCTTAGTTCTTATTACTCAACACTTATATACCGTTATTCAAATTAGTTAACACATAACTTAAGACATATCGAAACACTCACTGATAAACACACATTACCATTCAGAACGTACAGGAATAAAATACCTGCTTAGCTTCGTAACGCAAACAAATTAATATTCTTGTCAATTTGTTAATTAGCACAGTGTTATAGTTGTTGTTTTAGTTTTTAAATAAGATGGGAATTTCAAACAATTTTGTATAAGTTCGATAACGGTGGGTGGGTGTAAAATTAGTAAGAGAAATAACCTTGAAACTTAATGGCCTTACATCCTTGCAGCCTTTATTTAGCGAAACTGGCCATGGAAACGGAGTTTACGCTTTGGCATTCTGTGAAATTAATATTTTAATTTTCCTCATATTTAATTTATTCCTTGCATAGACTTCTTGTTCAATAAAATTATACCATAAAAGGCACATTGACTCTAGACAGCTATAGGTTGAAAAGTAAACATGAAGTTAAATGAAGCTAAGATCACGCTTAGTACAGGTGGGAAAAATTCAGTTTGTACTCCATGTCTGTATGACTTTGTGCCATGTCTTTCACTTGGATCTGTTTTCTGTTACTGGATCTGTCTTCAATGATACCCAAGATTGCTTGGTCACAAGGTTGGTTATTCACGTATGTTCTTTGACAAATGAAAACTGAGAAATCGAATCTTTCACTACTACCTTAAAAAAAGAGGCGCGATTGACAGAAAATAAAGCAATGGTGTCATTGTTATCGTGTTTTCGATGTTTCCTGCAAGATACAGATGACGGCTTTTCAAATTTCTGATGGAAATAGCACGTTAGCATTTACTGCTGTTTGTTCTTTGACATAATAGGCCGGTTATTTGCACGATGCCAAACTAACCGAAACCACGGTTTTACCTAATCATTGGATTTCGAGGATTCTCTATAGGGGGGTTGATTTAATTGAATGAATGTCCTTCCACTATTCCCTTTCGGCCCTCTTGACACTGTTCACAAAAATAAAAGTTCAGATGAAAGGTTCGGCCAAATAGAAGATGGCTTAGAACTCGCTTTTGTTAAACAAAGGATAAACATTGTTTAAATAACCAGCTGTATGTGTTTCGTGAACTGTTGAAGATGGGAAAAATTAAAGTGCGATGCGATACAATCGCACCGTAAGAAATCGCAAAAAATTACCGAAGAGCACATCCAGACATTTCTGTTTTATCTTTTATAATTGGAGGTAGTATATTTTAATAATTTTAGAGAAGTTGTGAACCCAAGTGTGCTACCTCATTTGCTCATTAAAAAAACATGACGAACTCTTATCTGCCATTGACCCAGATTATTTTTATGAGGCGTACTTCAAGCAAAATTTCAACTCTTACAAATGAAGGAATTTACCAAAGGGGCAATTATTCCGCTTTGCGGAACTTAAAAGCTAAGCACCGTAGGTAAACCTTGTAAAAACAAATAAGATAAGCCTAAACGGACATGTTGACAGCTTCCTAATTAACACTCAATTTCGTAGATGGATGTGTCGTAACCGAAGTAAAATATTTATGAGAAAATGCAAGCAGCTCCTCTCCTGACATAGACATGTTATTGAACATCATCATTCTGAAATAGGGTGAAAAGAAAACCTTTTCGAGCCAATTCAGTTTTGGGTACAAATTCAGGTGATTCCCACCGGTGAGTAACATCTGGGAACGCTTTTTCCAGCTTCAAACAGAACCGTTAGTTGCCTGCGGCAATCTAAAATAAAACGAGTTGAAAATTCCCCCAAAAATTAATGTTTACATACACGAAAAAGCACTTAGGAAGCACTTAAAAAAAAAAACATGATGAACTTTTATCTGCAATTCACCCAGAATAGTTTTACGAGAGGTACTACAAGCAAAATTTCAACTCTCACAAATGAAGGAATTTACCAAGGTGGCAATTATTCCACTATGCAATACTTAAAGGCTCAGTAACGTAGGAAAGCCTTGTAAAAACAATTAATATAGGCCTAAAAGGGCAAGTTAACAGTTTCTTAATTAACATTCAATTCCGTAGATGGATGTCTCCCTAACCTAAGTGAGGTATTTGTGAGAATATGCAAGTAGTTCCTCTCCTGACATAAACATGTTATTGAACATCATCATACTGAAATAGGGTGAGAAGGAAAACTTAACGAGCCGATTTTGGGTTCAAACTACATACATACATACATACTTTATTGTTACCTCCCCAATGGGGCTTTTCAGGAACAATTTTTTAAATTACTAAAGTTGCTAATAACTACACAATTAAAATTAATTAAATTTAAGAAACATTTACAACATTATCTTAACTTTGTAGTCGAGAAAAATACTAAAAATAAATGAAGTTTAGGGAGTATATACAAAATTGTCTAAAAGCTTATTCTTTAAGATACATTTAAAAACTTGAACCGAGCGGCTTGATTTTAAAAAGGGGCCTAAATTGTTCCAAAGTCCAATAGTTCTGTAATAAAATGTTCTTAGTCCTGAGGCTGTTTTAAAAAGAGGTATATTAAGCTTTTGGCCACTCCTAGTTGTACGCTTGGTAACTTGCTCGCGGGTAATCAATTGTGACGTCAGATATTTGGGGGCGAGTCCGGAAATGCATTTAAAAGCCATGGTAGCTTGACGGTAGTATAGCTAGTCCTTAACGGGTAACCAAGACAAACTTTTTTAGTGGGGAGTTACAAACTTTTTAAGTCAGGTAATTCAGGTAATTCCCGCCGGTGAGTAACACCGGATACTTATTTTCCAACTTTAAACAGAACCGTTTGTTATCTGCGGCTATTTAACCTAAACCGAGTCAAAAATTCCCTTGGGAAATAAAGCAATTACCGAGTCACCTGTTGCAAAAAAAACTTATCATTATCTTATTATCATATAATGTTATTTACCACCATCAAAACAGAACATCTTTATTATAGCAAGTGAAGCC